AAAATCATAGTGGCCTGGTACCATTTAGTGTAACCTGCCAAAGACTACACTCTCAGGGATCATTTCTATAGTACGTTAGTGTAGCATGCCAGAGGGTTGCAAATGAGAGAATGATCTAAAACTGAAGATTTACAACGATGCCCAAAGTCTATAAGTAAAGGTTAAACAAGATATGCTTGGAATTCTATGTTTAAGAACAGAGGGTGCGGTGCAAAATAGTTTTAAAAGACTTTCCTTGAAGTTTGGAAGCTAAAGGTGAATGAACAACTATGTAGATATTTTACTTTTGCAGAATATCTCCCTTCCTGACACCCTTGGATAAGTGAGGCGTCACTGAGCTACACCTTTGAGAACATCTGACTCCCAGGGGCTGGTTGGAACTTCTCAGACAGTAGCATAATTTTCAGACTTGTTTAAAAGTTTTGACAGTTCTGATTCTATCTAGCATGTCTGAGTAAATACTCGAGAGCTGATAGAAACCTTCTTCAGTCACCACGTATATACACAGTCTCGTATGGAAAGAACTCTACCCCGGCATTAGACAAATAGGGTTCAAGTTTCTCCTGTCATTAACCAGCTGTGTGACCCCAAACATGTCATTTATCCTTTCTGAGTCTCTGCTCTCACCTAAAAAAGAGAAATGATACGTATTATTTTCATTATCAATATAGTAAATACTATATCATTGTATTTACCATTTAACATTATTAATTATTGTATCTCATCAGCTTGTGGTGAGGAGTAAATGAAATTATGTTTGTGAAGTTGCTTTATATGGAAAATAATGAAAATGAAATTAGAGTATTGGGAAAAGCAACGATCCTTTTCATCCTTTTCTTTCCAAGGTACCTTGACAATTTTTCAGAATCCACAAAACTAGTGAGATACACATGGTAGCCATCACTGAACATCTTCTGTATGCTTATCCTGCCCCCATTCAATACCATCTGGTTTCTTATGTTGCTTCATAGAAGCCTGACTATACCCCATTTTTGTTCCTATTTCAGAATGACTGCCTTTAGAGAGTGGGGTTTCTTAGGAAGGACATTGCATAATCAGAAAATGCTGATCTGCCAAGGTTGTTAGATTTTTCCCTGGAGCATTTTCAGGAATGTGTCACAGGAGGTGGGGGGAGATGGGCAATGGAACAGACAGTACTAGGCACAGTAACCAGGTAATAAAGCTTCTGAACATTCCTTTCAAAATCTAATGAAGACATCACTCTCCATTAAGGCAAAGGTTCTGGGGTCCACAGTGGTGAGAGTTACTGAGCAGCTTCAAAAGGCTGCAGAAACAATGACCAAAAGGCAGGTCATAGAATCAGAGGCAGTGAATTCTAGAACTTGATGATGTCTATTTTCAACAAGTGTTGAATTTGCCAATAGCTATTATCCATAAACATGTGCCTCAAGCTCAGTGATGTGCTGAAGACAGCTTGAACTGGCTCAAGAGAGCTCACTGTTGGCTGTTCTTCCCAATACCACACTCAGGCATTTCTTCTTAGGAGTTTGAATTGGGTCCTGGTGGGAGTGTTTACACCACAGAAATCAGAAGATGCCGCAACTAGGGCTTTATTTCTCTTTTCAGAGAGCCAGCTTACGGACACACCACTGCTTGAACCTGAAAGTCAAAAAGATGTGCAGAATCCTAAAATAGCTATCAGAAGACTAATACCATTCCTGAATTTCCATGTGAATCACTGAAAAATTGTATATGTAATAAATAGCAGAAAACCTTTGTTTTTGGCTTCCAAATTCATTTCCCTCCAATACACTGTCAGCAGTTAATTTTCTTTTCAGATTCGGAATTTCTGGTTGTTTCCTTTTTTATAAATTCTCTTTATTGATTTTCTCATTTTCCTGATTTCCTTTAGTTCTTTGTACATGTTTGCCTTTAACTCTTTGAACATATCTAAGACAGTTGTTTTAAAGTCTTTGTCTAGTAAGTCCAAACAATGTTTGGACTTCCTCGGGAATGATTTCTGTCACTTAATCTTGCTTCTTTGATTTTTTTTTTTTTTACTGTTTCTTTGTATGCCTTGTGATTTTTTTGTTGAAAATAGGACATTTGATTACTGTGATGTAACTCTGGAAATCATATTCTTCATCTTCTCCAGAATTTGCTGTTTGTATATTTTTGTGGGTGTGTATGGTTGTCTTTTTTTCTTTTGATTGACTGTAGTAGTCCATTTGTTTACTGGTGCTTCCAAACTAATTTCGTGAAAACTATATTTACTTGTGCTGTGTGATCATTAAAGTTTCTGTTCTCTTGTTGTTGTTGTTGTTAGGTGCCATCAAGTTAGTACCAACTCATAGCAACTCTATGCACAACAGAACAAAACACTGCCCAGGCTGACCTCACAATTGTTGCCATACTTGAGCCCATTGATGCTGCCATTTTGCCAATCCATCTTGCTGAGGATCTTCCTCTTTTTCTCTGACCATCCACCTTATCAAACATGTTATCCCTTTCCAGTGACTGGTCCCTTCTGACGATATGTCTGAAGTATGAGACACGAAGTCTGGCCATCTTGGTCTCCAAGGAGCACTCTGGCTGTACTTCTTCCAATACAGATCAGTTTGTTATTTTGGCAGCCCATGGTACTTTCAGTACTCTCCTCCAACCCCATAATTCAAATGCATCAATTCTTCTATGATCGCTGTCCAACTTTCACATACAAATGAGTTTATTGAAAATACCACTTGGGTCAGGAACACCTTAGTCCTCAAACTGACATCTTTGCTCTTCAACACTTTAAAAAGATCTTGTATATCCAATTTGCCTAATGCAATATGTCATTTGATTTCTTGGCTGCTGCTTCCATGTTGATGGATGATCCAAGCAAAAATGAAGTCTTTGACAACGTCAATCTTTTCTCCATTGATAAGAATGTTGTTTATTGGTCAAGTTATGATGATTTTTATTTTCTTTACATTGAGATGCAATCCACACCACAGGCTGTGGTCATTGATCATCACCAGTAAGTATTTTAAGTCCTCTTCACTTTCAGCAAGCAAAGTTGTATCAGCTGTATTTTGCAGGTTGTTAATGAGTCTTCCTCCAATCTTGATGCCAAGGTTTTGTTTTGTTTTTTCATATAACCCAGCTTCTCTGTTCCCTTAGATTATGTTTAATCTGTATCTTTATGGAGGTGTTCTTTAATATCAGGAATTAAAAATCAAAACAACAGCAAAAACATTTCTCCTAGTCTTTTCAGATTGACTCTGTTCTGGGGCACTATTTCAAAACTTAGCAAGGCTTGCTCTGAGCCTAAAGATTAGACAAAGGTGGAAGTTTAGTTTCTTATGATACTCTATGAGCATGCATCTTGCCCTAGGTGTTTGTATGACTGTCTAGTTCCTCTAATATATGCTTATGCTTTTGAACACCTTAATCTCCCAAAAAAGGACCCTTAGCAGTAAAACAAATAAGCACTAGGCTGCCAGCCAAAAGGTTGGCTGTTAGAACCTACCCAGCGGCTACATGAGAGGAAGACCTAGAGACTGCTCCTAGAAATATCACAGCCAATAAAACCCTTTGGGACATTTTTACTTTGTCATAAGAGGTTGCTAGGAGTTGAACATTTACTTGACAGCACCTAACAACAACAAAAAATAATTTCTAGAGAGCTTCTGTAACATTTTCCCACTGGTCTATTACATGTCTCAACAACATGATTTTTTTTTTTAATTTAATTTAAGGTTTTTATTGTGGATTGAGTGAAAGTTTACAGGGCACATCATCAGTTTCACATTCAACAATTCATTTAACTTGTTTCATTACACTGATTATAATCCCCTCCATATACCATCAGTTAAAAGTATTTCTCTATATCCACTTTAGCTTTTTTTAAAAAACACACAAACAAAAATACCCACTCAGGCA